GAATTTACAAGTCACCACAAACATTTGTGACCTTGAATGCAGGGTGGGCTGACTAACGCATGAGAGAATTGTTTGAGCAGATACCATTTTCTCTTTCCTAAAGTAAAATAACATCTTTATTGACTTCTTCCCCTATAAGGTAATGACTATTACGTTTTTCTAGATAATAATTTAGTTGTAATGCTAATCTGGTCATTAGGTGTAGAGAAGTCTTGCTTTTATCCAAACATTCCTAATGCAAACCAGTTCTTGGCACTATTGGTAAGTGTTTTCAGTGGAGGGAAGTTCATATGGTCAAGTGGACTTTTTTAGTTTTTTTAAGAATGGCGAGATTGTCTCATGAAACTCAAACCTATTTCCATGAAAGCAAACAAAGCACATCACCAATGACATAGATTAACAGACCTGCCTCTTTAGATTGACAAATTGATTCAAAGGTGTGACCTCTATCGTCAAAGTAGAGGTCACTCTGGCCATCCACTTTGTCTCTGTCACTGTCCATCCTGTGGTGCTGCCATAGGAAATCAATTCAAATATCCACCCTGAATGATGAGTCAACGCCCCATTGCATGAAAGTGTGATTCTGATGCATCCATTAATTCTTAATTAACAAAGGCTTTTCTTTAATGGAGAAACATCCGATTATTTCCCCATGAAAGCAATGTGATTCTCTTTCACAACGGAAACACACAATGTTACTTCTACTGTCAGCAAACTGCTAAAGATTTTTTTTATCAGCTTTAAACTTTGGTTAACAAGTATTGTAATATTTTGTACATCACATTTCAGATTTGTTCAGGCCTTCCATTTCTTTATCTTGATTTTTGAACACAATATGGGTCACATCAGAGTCTGAGATTCTCAAGATGAGTTCTAAAGACCGCTCTGGATTCAAGCCTTGAGACCAAAAAGTAATCAAGTCTTTGCACTTTAGGCCTAAAGACTTTAAATCACTTTATCAGCCCCCCTGTGTGAGAGGGGTTTTACATCATCAACCCTGCAGGGAGCTACTGTGTAGGAGTAATCACTGTGTTTGTTTCGGGAAATGATTAATTGTTGGACCAAATAAAAGAGTGGGTTTGAGTCACGCTGTTCAAAATGTTCTTCCATTTAACATCAGTTTGTCATACAGATGAGGTGTATATAGGAGATGTACTCTGATTTTATTAATTAGAATGGCATCAGTTTGTTATTTTGCTAGTTCAGTTCAGTTTAGACAGTAACAAACTTGCCTTTTTAATTTTCATTCAGTTCTCATTTCAATTGCAGGCTACACAGGAGCAATCATCAGACTGATCCTGTGATGTTATTCTATTATGGAAGCCTTACAAGACAATACTCACCTTTATTTTTTGGCAACATAATAACAGGCACATCATTTCCCCTGAGTAAATTAGGTAGTCCAATAGGGAGAGTTGTTAATAAAACTCATTTGAACCAGCCAATGACTCAGACCAGAAGGGTTTTTTGTGATAAAAAATGATTTGTCCACTGTTGAAGTAGCAAACATTTTAATGTAAGATCGTTCCAAAAGCTACAATTACGTTATACTTTGTTAAGAAAGAGCTATAGCTAATAATGAGGATCTTTACCATGCACCTTAATGTAATTACCACGCTTGTGACAAAGGAAATCATGCCTACACAATGAATTATAAGCTGTCTAAATGCTGACACCCTCAAGCTTTTGCATGTCAATATCAGTTTAGGGAGGAAAGATCAATTAACTGACTTTCCAGTGACTCATGGGATAAATGTCTTTCAACCACAAAAGAAGAAGATGAATGCAGGCGATTTCACTGCCAATGGTATTTTGCAAACATACATTTTTCAAGAAAAGATATTAAGCTAATTCCAAAAATATGGCACAGGTTCCCACTGACAAAGGTCTGCTAAGTAAAGCTGTCACTGGATGATTAGGATGATAGACAATCTTTCTTTAAAGACACAGACGTATCTGGCTGCCAAATAGCCGGGGAAAAAAGTTACCCCTGCTGAAAATCCTACATAATCTGCTTATGTGCGTGTGTTTTTTCACATGTGTAACAGAGATCAGTGAAGCGCTGATGCAGGCTTTAGCCCACTGTTGTCACCCCTTCAAACACTGCAGCATGAAAACTAAAAAGTACAACATTGTCACTTTTGATATGATAACGGTACTCACAAACACCAACACCAAAGCTAGTATGAACTTTGACACTATTCATAAATGTTGGCAAAGATATGACACCAAGGAAGAGGAACTCTGTTTACATTTGTATCACTTCATGGTCCATTACTTTGAAGACCACTTGCTATATGGTTAAAGTTCTGCACTTATTTCTCAAAGTACTTATTAATCATCAACAACAATTAATCAATCCAATGACATTGTATTTTTGTAAACAATTATCTCTGTAAGACAGTTGAGTACATAATGTTTTCATAATGGCGGGATATCTAGCTTGACACAGTTTGGCTTATTGATTTCAACATTTGTTGATCAACATTTAAACAACAATATTCTCTGCGAAGCCTCTCAAACACAAATCAACAGAGCTTTCTCCTCTGAGTTGTTTATTATCTTTGTAGCCTATTCCACAAAACACAGACTGGACCATTACGCACTAATAGACCATGAATATATTTTGTAATAATAACCTCTCCCTTTTGTCCTAGAGCCATAGAACAAGAATACTGGTAGAAGCCTCTGTAATAATAGGAATGTGTAGAGCTTGTGTGTTTTTCCAGTGTGCCTGAGCTTATGTGGAACCCTGTTATTGCTCCCTGTAATTAGCAAGAGGATGTATGTCTTTGCGTGTCAGTGTGCCTGTTTGTGTGCGTACCCAAGTGCGTGCATGTGCGAAAGTAATCCAGAGTGTTAGAGATTCTGTTAACACATTGGTTGCCATAACAACTGCAGCAGGCCCACTGATGGAGAGTGGGTTCAGTGACTGACTGGAGGGCTGTCTGACTGGAAAGCTTACCTCCAGGAGTCCAGACTAAGAAGGTCACTCATTTCCAGAGAGTTTGATACTGACACACAAGACGGCAGGAACACTGAGTAACTGTTTTGACCTACTGTATGTAAAACAGCCTCCATTGTGATTATAAGTTAATATTTGTTTTCCATTTATCTAGTATTAACTGTGATTTGTTGTGTTTTTTATTGTAAATTTCAATTCTATTCTAATGGCAGGGGGTTCGGTAGATCAATCCACTACATTATAAACGTAATATGAACTGAAAGATGCCCTTTGTGATACAAACCTGACACCTAGCGGTCATGTCTTTAAATTGCATACAATGCTGCTGTTATAATAATCTGCACGTCGAGCCCATTAGCAATGTCGCTACTAGAATGAAGCTTTAAAGGGCATACAGTTTTGTGTGTAAGGTGTTTCATTATTCGTGTGCAATAATTAACTATTTGTATCTTTAGAAATGTAGGCCTACTTGGGAAATGACAAACACTAACATGCATATCGAGACGTTCATCCATGTGTGTCATTCATTATTTAGGCTACTGAAAGAACTGATGATCTGAAGATGGAAGACAAAAAAAAAAAAACGTAAAAAGTTGAAAGTTAGATTTATAGGAGAAGATAACTTGGATGATAATTTTAGGGGATTATACTATTTAATGGGTACCTCCATGAGGCTTTATTGACATTTTCATATAATACGATTAATACAGGTAAACTACTAATGTAATTCCCCATTAAAACAATATATCCACACGTTTCAAGATGCTATATCAATACAAAAAAAAACACTTCATGGTAAAATGATGGCCTAGTAGAACATTGTGCTCAAAATGGAACTTATATTCAGTATGTCGGATGTTACACATTCCCTCGGTTGGTTTTTATTTTTTTTCCACGCATCTGTTTAATAGGGAACAAACAATACGACGTATTTATGTAGGCCAATGCGGAAGTAACATCGCCATGGGGGTCTATCGAGTATTTTTGCATTGGACTTTGGATTCATTGCAGAAAATAAGCCCTGTGGCTGAACACACGTTGCTGATGCGTGGGCGTTTTGTTCAGCAAGGATAATCTTCACAAATTAACACCATTTTTGATTATGTGTGAAGCTTCAATGCGGCCGACAGAAGTGAAAAACTAACGTTATGCTGTAGAGAACTACACGACGGTCGGGTGATTGTGACGTCACTACCGCTATGCTTCACACGACCGCCGATAAACTAATCCGCGTAGTTTAATAAATTGTTTATTAACCTAATATCTGCCTTAAAACCAGACTAGATTAAACCTACAGGAGACACCACAGACTAGTGACGGAGTTCCCGACGTGATGACGATTAATCTCCCCGACGACCCCTGTAGTCTATTTTAGCCACATCGTTAGCAACCGCCCTTTTAAAGACGGGGGTAAAAACTTAAAAATGGTGGGGGGTATTACTTAAACGTTGTTTATGTGGTCTAACAAAACGCCAAAAAGCTTTTGTTAACCACGGACCTTAACTCAGTTGTCTAGCCACAAAGCCATTAATAATTCCCGTTTACTTTTAGACGATAGGCCCCATGGCGCTCAAAATGCTAACTTACTTCCGGGTTTTAGGACTCACACGTGGGGAGGTAATACCTGCCGTAGTTTATGTGGCCTAACAAAGCGCCAACATCTCTTAAGCTTACCCACCGACCTTATTTCAGGTGTCTTACCACTAACCCATTCATAATTTTGTGTAATTTTTAAATGATACTCATGGCGCTCAAATGCTCCGGGAAAATCTTTCCGGGTTGTTGCGACATGAAGCCACAACTGACAAAGAAAATGGAAAGATTGATCAGAACATAAAGTACAAAACTATTCCCGGCTCTCCGTAGTTACATATTTCGATCGCTTTAACAAGATTAGTCAATTTTAAAGCACATTTAAAATGCAGATGTTGAAGATACCTTGGACAGCCTTCATGAACAAACAGCTGGCCGGATGTGCAGTTCTGTCTGAAAAGGTATTCCCTCTTTGTGGGGGGGAAATTGAACACACATGAGCCTCGGATAAACTTAGTTTTTAATAGTAAAAAAAAAGAATTCAGCATAAAATGTCACAAAAGCATATTTGATTAAACAGAGCCACTTTTTTCTTTCGGTTTAAAACCTGGCAAGACGAAGGCCAGTCACACAAAGACCGGCCGGGGGAGGGGGGCAAACAAAACAAGCCCCATCGGATATTTCAATAAAAAAAAAAGTAATCAAAATCAGTAAACATGTGCTGGACAGAAAGGAGAAAAAAAAATGTCCACAGCAATGGCTGTTCAACGAAAAATCCATGTGAGAGCTGTTTGAGCCCCTCGCTGGGACTTGCTTGAAGTTCTAATCAAAATCAAGTTATTACAGATGTAACAACCTTTGAGGAATCGAGATGTCCCAATTAAGCAAGAGTCTTTTGAAGGAAGGGTTTGTTAAGGAATTACCAATTTTTCTTTGAAGATGCTTGAGCAGAACTACAAAAACTAAGGTCAGCAGTAACACGTGGACACTTTTCTTGAGCGGCGCATCTTTGAAATACAGCCAGCCACGTGATGATCTTGAATCGGGGGGGGGGTGTTTACTCATAGCCATCATATCCCTCGCGGTAATTTCCTTGACCCCTGTTATCTCTGTATCCTCCTCCTCCACCGTAGGATGATCCTCCTCGTCCACCTCGTCCTCCACTCCTGTACCCGCCGCTGCCGCCGCCGCCGCCACCACCATAACTCCTATCTCCACCTCCTGAGTAGCCTCTGTCTCCCCTGTCTTCATAACTCCGCTCATAGCTTCTCTCCTGTCCTCCTCTCCCCCGACTATGGCTGAATCTTCCACCACGTGGGCATCCTCCTGCTCCTCCGCCGCCTCTCCGCGCACTCTTTCCAGCTGCATCCACACGAATACACCGGCCATCGAGCTGCTTGCCGTTCATCGCTTCCATGGCGTCTTTAGCATCTTCGACGTTGTCGTATTTCACAAAACCGAAACCGCGAGATCTTCCGGTCTCTTTGTCCCTGATCACGTCCACTTTTTCGATGGTTCCGTATTTGCAGAAGGCCTCGGCCACCCCGTCCTCGGTAGTTTCGAAGCTGAGCCCTCCGATGAATATTTTTCCTTCGTCCTCCATTTTCAACGTAGTTTCTCCAGCTGGCTTTCGGCGCTGCTGAGCGGGGCTGTGCTGCGGGTCGGAATGAGTCGAGAACGCCTAGCCGCGAACCGTGGAACGGGGCGGTGTCGGGATTAAAGGCGGGGCCGGATGTCCGACGCCTCCCCGTCACTCTTCTTATTGGATATCCCCGGGCGGCCGTCATGAAGAGCAACCCATCCGGGTACTTTCGCGCAACAGATGCCGCCTTTTTCCGGGTTAACTCATTCTATCTGAATTAATGGCGGTTTAATGGAGAAGTCGGCGTCTTTACCGATTTAAAGGCTTAAAAATATGAAAAACGGCATTTTAAAAACGGCAAGTATGAGCCTAAATCCGATGACCAGTGATGAACATTTAAAATAGGACACTTGCGAACAGAGATAACGGCATTTTAACATTATAAAATAAACACAATTAAAGGTGTTCATCTGTTCAGTCTCTCCGTCAAACTGGTTAAGGGTTAGGGTTAGTTTAAAAAAAAAAAATGACATAAACACTGGGTTATCAGCTGATATAGAAAATAATACCATCCGTAAAAGTCACCTGGATTATATTAAAACCTTTTATATTCATACGTGAGTGTATATAGTGATGAGTGGGGCAAGACGAGGTGTTACAGACCTTTTTATTTGACATGGATTTGGTGTACTGTTTCTTAATTATGAGACATAATATTTGCAGTCTATGGACATAACACACAGAGCTCTTCTTTCTCCTTTGTAGATTAAAACTGCTCCGACTGCTTTTATTCGCGGCTCGCCAAATCAAACACGCCCTGGCCCGTTCAGGTGAAAACAAGCCCTGACAAGATTACAAAACACTGATGTCATTTTTTTCCCCCCCGCTAAACTAAACGTCTGTAACCTCTCCATTACAGCTATGAACACTGTTAGAAACTATTACAAATAAATATTATTTAAAAGTGAAGATCCGTCTCGTGTAACGCGGTTAACAATGACTCATCAGGTATGTGACTTCAGTCTGATCACATGTGCTCGTTTAACCAGTTTGACGGAGAGAAGACTGAATACCTTTTTAGTTGTGTTTATTTTATATTGTTATGATGCCGATCTCTGTTCACAAATGTCCTGTTTTAAATGTGTACATCTCTGGTCATGTATTTAGGTTCATACTTGCCGTATAAGGTACGGTTTTCATATTTTAAAGCCTTTAAATCGGTAAAGACGCCGACTTTTTCATTAACCGCCATTGATTCAGATGGGAATGATTTCACCCACAAAGGGGCGGGGCCGGCATCGTTTGGGCAAAGTACCCGGATGGGTTGCTTTCATGAATCAGATGGGCAAGGTCTGGCGTGAATTGATGTTGTGACACAAAGAGCATTATCTGCTGGATGAGCGCAAGAACTACAAATATATCTATAAATAAATAAATATAAATGTTTCTTTTTTTTTCTTTTTTTTTAAAGCTTTACTGTTTAATTATTCTGTTCATTATTATGATGCATAACAACATAAGATTTCATTTTTCAATTATTCAGTTTCATTATTGGGAAGTTATTACTGTTGCTGTTGTAATCCTGTAGCCTCAGGAAACCATATTAAATGTGTAGGCTTTGCTGAAGAAATACAAATATAAACTTAATTAAATAATTAAATATAAACGTGAATAACTTTTACTAGTATTCATTTTTAGCTTTATTGTTTAGTTATTTAGTTCATTCATGAAATGATTATTTTTATAATCAGAAGACATTTTTTGCAAAGCTCCTGCTTTATTTAGGAAAAGAAATACAAATAATAATCCACAAATATAGCACTGCACAGGAAACATGACATGTTCGTGTGGGGTTGTGGAGAAAGCAGAAGCTAAGAGGCCAGATATGAAATCAAAAGAGCTAAGCTTAAATATAACAAACAAAATAGAGGACACATTTCACAGTAATAACCTACGTGCAGTGTGGGATGGAATGAAAACCATGACTGGCCACGACAATAAGAAAAATGGGTGGATCAACATGGACGGTTTTAAATCACACACAGAGCTTGCAAATGCACTTATTATTATTATCTACTTTTTAATGATGAATATGATTTTACAAAGGTGCATAGTGACTTGTTCGACATATGAAGTGACTGTAATGCCACCTCTCAAACTCAGTCTAATACTAGTATTAGTGTCCATTCTGTCAGATCCATGTGTAAGACGTAACATTAGAAAGAGCCCCGGACCAGTATGATCACTACACAAACAAGACACAGATTTAATTAAAAAGGCAACAAGGATGAATCAAATGGGTCTCTCTCTGGTGTACTTCAATGGATATCAAAAGATGACTCCATCACAAAGTAGTAGTAAAGAACTAAACATTGAACTAAACACATCTTTTGTCCTAATAACCTTAACGTTTCCATTTACTGTTCATCATGGACGCCAGTGCCATTAAGGGAATTTAAACAATCTGCATTGTGGCTTCATTATCTGTAAAATAGTTACCACAATAAACAGAACACACATACAAACTTTGAGCCTAAATACTTCAAACACTGCTACTGATCACGTTTTGTAAAAGTGTCGAGCTATAATGGCGAGTAAATACTCTCTAGTCTCTAATACAAATCGACCAGTGCCCTGGTCGCCAAACAGGAACCAGAATCCAGTGGGAAACGTCTGCTTTACAGTAAAAAAAAGGTGAAATTAATAGTATAAATTCAATGATGTACATATGATTACAGAATATATGACAATGGTATCATTCTTAAGAACTGAGTAGCCTATAGGTATATGGTGTTCAGGATTTTGTGATGCAGGTGGAAACCAACTCTGAACAACATGCTGTTTGCTGAGAAAGACAAGCTTGATTCCCTGAAAGACCATTTCAGTCCAGATGAGATTATAATAAGTGGATAAATTTTGAAAAAATGGGTACTTGGTTGGCACTTCAGGCCAGTGTTGAACTCTGAATGAAAAAGGAAACCATGTCACAGAAATATCCACTTTAACATTTAACACATGTAATGCTAACTTGAATTAGATCCAAAGAGTTCATATTCCATATTAAGAAAATTAATCCTAAAAATGTTATGGCTAATCTTTCTAACCTAACGTGAAGACGTTTTTAAGAAGCAACTGAGTGGGCTATAATGACTGGGAATCATTTCATAGGCCTTTTAGATTTAGGATCAGTCTAGACAACTTTGGTCGGTATTTCTTTGATCTGACGGTTCAGACGGTTTTTAAAAAAATGCAATAATTAAGGAAATGAATGTGTCGTAAGTCTAATGACCCTAAACAACAGCACGCAAGAATCTTGGGGAATTCCCATAGACTGTAAATATTACAATTTACAACCTTTCTTTATCGGTCCACGGCGAATGATGCTGCATTCACGTGGTGTCGGAAACATCGGGAAAAATAATTTCCGAGTTGTAAAATGCACATGAACACCTGCTCGAGTCGGACCAACAACTCGGAAACTCGGAAAAGAATAAGGAGCCCGACTTCCCGACTTGATGTCATAATCGTCATGAAATGGGGGGGGGGGGGGATATTTTTTGTTAATGCTAACATACTTTTTATTAATTCACGTAGCTTATTGCACATAAAAAAAAAATCAAATATAACTTTTAACAGTTAGATTTCACTGATCTTCTTTGTAGCATCAACGCGTGTTTGTGCTGTTGTCACAACACTCTAGCTTTCACGTGAACACACTGAAGTCGGAAGAACGACTTCCCAACTCTTGTGGGAAACTTGGACCACCGGAGCAGCACCTGAATGCAGCACAAGAGCCATTCCGTCAGTTGGTCCAATCAGACGGCGCGGAACTGCAACGTCATTACGTACACGCAACGAACTGTCATGGAAGCCCCCACGCGCAAATCTAAATTGTAAAGGATCCTGCTGTACCCTTTCTTGTTTTGTTTTCGTCTTTAAATATGAGGTATTTGCTCCGACTGGGGCATTCGTTTGCCCGCCTTCACGTCCGCCTTTGTCACCAAAGTGTTTACGGCAGCCACGCTAATCCACGAAGCCTGCGAGTGGACCTTGGGGAAAAGTAAGTTGACTTTCCCAGTTTCCATTCACTTTTTTAATAACTGTAGACGAGAGAGGCATGCATGTTTAAAATGTTTATGGTGCCATGTTTGCTGCTTAGTGTGTTCGTTTCTTCCAAGTCCTCCTCATTTAACTCTATACCAGAAACATAACAGGTAACTTGGATACCCAGGACACAGTCACTGCATGTACATGACATTAGTTTAGCATCTGAGACACTCTCATGTGCTCTTGTTGTTTTTTTTTGCAGGAAGCTTGAGATCTCTTCGGGGAGGTTTGCTAGATTTGCTGATGGATCTGCTGTAGTACAGGTACTGAAATCATGTCCACAGTTTCATCAAAACAGGTGCTGGAGCAGCCGAGTCCTCCCTTTATCAATAGATGTCAGATGTCATGTTTTCAACTCACCTCCCTACTTCATCAATCTAGGAAAACTTCTCTTCTGAATTTCCTGGGGTCCTTCCTTTTCATTTTCCTAATGATGAGTTATTTTGACAGAGCTTTACTTTTTTTTTTTTTTTTTGTGAAACCCAGATAAGGCTGTCAGATTAAAAAGCCTTGTGAATTGCGGTTTTAACTTGATTGTTATCTGATCGATCTGGATGGACAGACGAGGGATTTTTATTCAGTTGTATGCTCGTCATCCACAAAGTTTATAAGTATCCTTATTGAAAGCCATGGGCACTTTCTTCATTGAAGATTGGTCAGTTATTAGTAAATCTAAAATAAAACAGGTTAGCAGACAGATTCCAAATTGAGCCTCTGATCAGTCAATCTATAGTTTTAATAGTGCTTGTGTTTTAAAGATGAATATAGCTAAAACATGTCTGGATCGCCCCTTCTGACAATGTTGTGTAGTCCCAAATGCTATGAGTGATTGTTTTTTGTAACATATTTTGTCTGATTCTCTCCTTGAAGCTGGGAGAGACCTCTGTGATGGTGACTGCTGTGAGCAAAACAAAACCTTCTGTGGCACAGTTCATGCCTCTTGTGGTATGTTTTCCAACATAACATTAAAATCAAACTCATCCTTGGTTCTTGACAGTAATAGTGAAAAGTTGATAAATCCTCCCTCTTATGAACGATATCATTCAAATAGATTTTTCTTTAGTCTTGGAGCATCTTTGTGATCTTTCTGACCTTGTGAGTCACACCATACAAAACAGCATTAGCAGCATATTTCTGGATTATTTTAAGTACATGTGCTGACTTTGATCAACAGGTGGATTACAGACAGAAAGCAGCTGCTGCCGGCCGAATCCCCACTAACTATTTGAGGCGAGAGCTTGGCACAACAGACAACGAAATCCTCACCAGCAGACTTATCGGTGAGTAAATAAACATGTTTCTTGTGATGTATAGGCATTTTATGTAGCAGGTCTTTACACTGATGGTGTACTGTGCATGCTATCGACTTGAGTGCTTTGAATAACAGCTTTTCATGTGTTTGTTTCACAGACAGGTCGATAAGACCGCTATTCCCTTCTGGTTACTTCTATGATACTCAGGTCAGTTCAGATTGAAAGTATTTTCAGTAGTTTATACTGTAGCTATAGTTTTGCTCTCTCTTCCTCTTGAACAAAGATGATGTTAATGTGAATCTGTCTTTAACACTCTGTGTGAAGATCCTTTGTAACCTGCTGGCTGTTGACGGTGTCAATGATCCCGATGTGCTGGCTATTAATGCGGGTGAGTTCATTCCCAGCCATCCACATTTTTGCAAGTGCAAAACATTTTTAGAGTCTTAGCTGAATCAATATTTTCTTCCATCAAAGCTTCTGCTGCACTGGCCCTGTCTGACATTCCCTGGAATGGACCAATAGGTGAGGATATATTCATGCCTATTGTATTTTTATATAGTGACCTGAAAATCCTGGTTATGTTCTTTATGTTTAAATTATATTCGGGTAAATGATAACCGGTTTGTTCAAATCTATCTTGTGACTGCTTTTTTCAGGAGCTGTACGTATGGGCATGGTCAATGGAGAGTTGGTGGTAAATCCCACCAGGACAGAGATGACTGCCAGCAGTCTCAATCTGATTCTGGCTGGAGCCCCCAGTAGTCAAGTGGGTAAGTTTAAAAACAACAACAATATTCCAGGAGAAGCTCAGACGCTCATTTACTGAAAGAAGAAATCACCAACAAAACTATTAAAATGATGTAGTATGTAGTAATAAGTGAACATTATGAGTAGTTACTTCAGTTTATGTTGGTTATAACTGGAATAAATTCTAAAGATGTATAATTTTGTTTGCAGTTGTTCCAAATCTGATGGAGAATGCCATGATTGAAACATTATGTTGTTTATTAAAGAGGTTTGCAATAAATATGTGATGTCAGACACATTATCAAATATCCTTGGCTGTTATGATTACAACGCTATAAAAATGAAAAGTTGAACACTGTCTTGCAAGCCAGAATGTTAACATGATGATACTCATTGGATATCACATTTTCCAATGCTTGAAAATTACATTTTTATTATGTTTTGACAAGCCATAGTTTTAGTTCAGTCATTATGTCACGTGTGAGGACAAGTAGGTAGCACAGATTGATCAACCTGTAAGTATAGCTTAATTTAGTGTAGATGACAAAATAGATCCCCTCAGTGTCTCCAACTTTCAGGATCAGTGTCACAGGTTCTGTTGATTTCATCACTAAGCACTTTGTTCCTGTTTTTCTCGTCTGTCTGTCAGTGATGATTGAGGCATCAGCTGAGAACGTACTGCAGCAGGACTTTTGCCATGCAGTGAAGGTGGGAGTGAAGCACACCCAGCAGATCATACTGGCCATCCAGCAGCTGGTTCGTGAACAGAAGGTCACCAAGCGCACCCCGGTCAAGGTCTTCTCAGCCCCAACTGACATGGTGGAATATGTCCGACAGTAAGCCGAGTCATAAATGCAATATAAACAAATAAGCTCGCAGAGATGAAACTGTTAATGAAACAGAAGTATTATTGGGTTTACCTTTAGAACGTGAGACCTTCATACAGAGAATATGAGGTTAAATAGTCAATAATATAGTAACAAAAACTATTTAAAAACAATGTAGGCGTGTTAGTTATAAATAGATTTTCCTTTTCTTGCATGCAGATTAGCTTCTGGGAAGATCTATGCTGTTTTCACGGATTACACCCACGATAAGGTAAAAACTGTGTGTGTGTGTGTGTGTGTGTGTGTGTGTGTGTGTGTGTGTGTGTGTGTGTGTGTGTGTGTGTGTGTGTGTGTGTGTGTGTGTGTGTGTGTGTGTGTGTGTGTGTGTGTGTGTGTGTGTGTGTGTGTGTGTGTGTGTGTGTGTGAGACACAAAAGGTGGTGAAATACGCTGTTTTCTGTGCAGCCAGAACCATTGATGTTCTCTCCTCTGTGTATTTTTTTGCAAATTGCCTCTCCTCTTGATAAGCATAATCATCTAATTAAATCTTGTCTTAGATTTCAAGGGATGACGCTGTCAACAAAGTCCGTCTAGAAACTGAAGAGAACCTCAAAGGTAGATTTTTCAGCATTGTATGTTTACTGGAACTAATATTGGGTGAGCTGTTCTGTTCACACAATAATGTGTTTCGATGTATCACCTTATACAGAACTGATTCTGCAGACCAAACATGTGTTCCTATGTATCAACTGAACCGTCTTAATGTCCTCCATGTGCAGAACGATTCCCCCAGGCTGAAACGTTTGAAATTATTGAATCCTTCAACACTGTGAGCAAAGAAATCTTCCGCAATTTAATTCTTAATGAGTATAAGAGGTAAGAGCTGTCCACGGTGAGCTGTATGTGTATTTCAATGTCACATGATTTTACCTTTGTAATTAATGCTGTATTTGGATTTTTTTGTAGATGTGATGGGAGGGACTTGACTGCTTTAAGAAACATTTCTTGCGATGTGGACCTTTTTAAACCTCTGCACGGCTCAGCTCTGTTCCAGAGAGGACAAACACAAGTGGGTATAGGACAACAAGAAGCTTCTCCACTGATACACCTTCTTTGAAGAGGAAAAAAAAAGTATACCATTGTGTTGATATTCTATGGCTGAGAGTAGGGTTAGGGTTATTAAGGCTTGCTTCTGCACTTTTGAAAGCTCAAATAAAAAAGCAGGATGGTGGCCAATGAGGTTCTTCGTTCTGGAATCTGATTTTCACTGTTTCACTGTGAAAAAGCAACTTCATTGTTCCTGGAAGGGTAATTTGATTTACAGCAGTGGACAAAACCACAACAAATAAAACGACAGGGCAGTGCAAAACAACCTGAAGAAAAACAACCAAGAAAAAGAAAAGTGTAACTGTTTGCTAAAAATTAAAAAATTAGCATCAGCATTTAATAGTGGAAGCTCATTATTTGCCCTCTTCCTTTCCCTGCAGGTATTATCCAGTGTCACATTTGATTCATTGGAATCCAGTGTTAAAGCAGACATCATCACCACAGCTCTAAGGTAAAAGGCTTCTTCTTTTTAAACATTAAACCAGTTAACATTATCAGGACAGTTCAGATCATGTTGGCACTTACCTTTAAAGTGTATTAAACCACCTCCCTGTCTACATCTGAACAACAATTTCATCATTTTTTACTGCAGTGGCATAAAGGACAAAAACTTCATGCTTCATTACGAAGTGAGTAAAATCCTGTTTTCATTTTTTCATTTAATGTTTGATTGTGTTTCTTTTATTTTTTACAATGAACTTAAAATTCACTTTTTATTTTCAGTTCCCTCCATATGCAACCAATGAGATTGGAAAGATGGGAGGCATCAACAGGAGAGAGCTTGGACATGGTTTGTTTTAACAATTACATTTATTACGTTTATGTAATCCTTGTCAATCACTAGTACCTGTGAAGAACCTTATTTACAAAGATCTGTTTGCCTGTGTCGTTTGTGTTTTTTTTTTTTGTATTCCAAGGGGCCCTGGCTGAGAAAGCTCTGAGACCAGTAATTCCAAAAGATTTCCCTTTCACTATCAGGGTCACGGCTGAGGTGCTGGAGTCAAACGGTGAGAGTGGGGACACAGCTTTTGTAGTGTAAAAATCAAACACAGGAAAAGTGTTCATTGTCTGGCAGGATGTCTCAGACAGGAACATGGGGGACTAAAGTCTGAACAACCTTTCCCCCCTCTCCCTCTTCCTCCCTATTTCTCTTCACCCAGGATCCTCGTCTATGGCTTCAGCATGTGGAGGCAGCCTGGCTCTAATGGATGCAGGTACTTTAGCATAGAAGGATAACATGAAATAGCTTGAGGACAGTTAATCTCTGTAGTATCATTTTGGTTATTTATTATACAGTCTTAAAATAACATTTATTATGTATTTGCGCTATACAAAATGATTGACTGTTACTTTACTGTATTCTGCTTCAGTGTGTCTCTTCACATTGTATGAGTTGTGTGATAAACTGTAGCTAATGTAGCTACGTCTCAATCTGTGTCTCCCAGGTGTTCCCATCACTTCTGCTGTGGCAGGAGTAGCAGTTGGTCTCATCTCCAAAGCCAACTCGGAGAAACCCACAGAGATCCAGGACTACAGACTGCTTACTGATCTTCTGGTACGTGATGAATGTATTTATAATAGATGGTGTGTAAAGAACCTTTTATCAAGTGGATCAAATCGTGACGTTGTCCCTGTGTGATGTCATAGTGTTGATTTTGTGCTTATTTTTAATTTTCTAAACAGGGAATAGAGGACTATCTTGGAGACATGGACTTCAAATTGGCGGGAACAAACAAGGGCATCACTGCTTTACAGGTACTGTGTCTGTTTTTGGTTTGGAGAAAATAAGCAAATGTTCCTAAAAAGATTTCAGTGTGTCATGAAAAATGTCCACTTTTGAAATGACATTATTATAAAACACACTGTTTTGATTGGAACTTGGAAGACTGTACAGATTCAGGGACCAGGGACAAATAGGGCTGGCCAAACACAACAATAAACTACAATGTTAATTTCTAATGACCATTGATACTTTACTATGTGCTAGTTTTGCATCCTGCCAAGCTCACCAATATCACAGCTATTCTCCCAAAGCTGTTTTCAGTTCCTCTTGTCCATGTTTAACCTCTCATTTTCTTTAACCCTCCAGGCTGACGTGAAGATACCAGGTCTGCCTTTGAAGGTGGTCATGGAGGCCATCCAACAGGCCACAGGTACAGTGAGCTGAATTGGCAGTGGAACGTAATATAATAAATAATATATAATATATATAATATAATATAATATAATATATTTAAATAATGAAAGAAGTATGTAGAAAATGTTGTTGGATGAATAACCTCCGATTCTTTAATGTAACTTTCCAGTGGCAAAGAGGGAGATCTTGGGTATTATGAACAAATGTTTAGCCGAACCCAGAACCACAAGGAAAGAAAATGGACCTGTTGTTGGTAAGTTTTGTGTTGGCACATATATTAAGTGCATTTGCATTTGAAAGAAAAAGGACATTTATGTTTGTGTTCTGTACTTCTGCATGTTCTTGGCCAAAACATCCTGCACAGTCAGTTGATGGCAGAACAATCTTATACTCACTGCAAACCCTACAATAGGTCTAAAAATCATTAACATGAATTCTGGGCTTTCTTTAAAAAAAAAAAAAAGCTCATCCAACTCTTGGCTCCTTTTCCGCTTTATTGATTACTTGTGTTTAATGTGTTTCAGAAAACGTTCGCGTGCCTGTTTCAAAACGAGCACGCTTTGTTGGTCCAGGCGGCTACAACCTTCGCAGACTACAAGCTCAAACAGGTGAAATATTAAACTCAGATCTAACGGAATCAAAAGTCAATCTGAGACGTGAGAACTTCATGAATGAAGATCAGTCATTCCCTTTCTTCAGTCTGTTTTACGCTTTACAAACTCCTTAACAGCAAGTTCAAACTGTATATTTTGCTCTGTCTCATGAAGGCGTGACGATAAATCAGGTGGACGAGGAGACTTTTTCCGTGTTCGCTCCAACCCCAGGAGCCATGCATGAAGCCCAAGACTTCATCGGTGAAATCTGCAAGGACGATGTGAGTCTCCACCACTTATAGGAGCCTTTTTAAAAACCAAACTTGATGTAAAACTGCATTCTATGTAAACTTGGCTGTATGTGTGCAATGTGTTAATGAACATACATGTGCTGTTTCTGTTCTGTCTGCAGCAAGAACAGCAGCTGGAGTTTGGTGCTATCTACACTGCCACCATCACTGAGATCAGGTAAACCAACACTCTGCTATGTTGACTGTAAAACAGTATTCAATGCAAGTCATAAGCCCTCAGTTGAAACATTCTTCTCAAGGTAACTTAAAGCAGATTGTCGATATTCAAAATAAAAACTATTGGCGCTTCACAGACTGCAATTTGAAGGCGGAATACTAACATGACTGTTCTGCCTGGCGTGCAGCATGTAACCCACGGTTACCGAACGGTAGGGCGAAGTCGTTCCACCCCTGATACACCATGGGAACTAGAGACAGAGGAGCTGGAGATGTGTACTGTCTGAGCCAGTGAGAGGCAGAACAGAGGTGTGTGTGTGTGTGTGTGTGTACGTGGAGCTCCCACGGTGTGCACACACACCTTGCGTCTCGTGCTCCTCTCGGCCTTCCACAGCGTTGTACTGCAATGTGAATTCACACACTAGTACACCAATATTACACCGTTACCAATGCAATATGTTAAAGGGAATCATGACAGCAGAACTTTGTCACAGCGCTGTTGCAGAACTGCAGTCAGTAAGCGCCTTCTGAACTCAAACTACAGCTAGTTCAGATGTTCAGCTTTTTAAGTCTTTCTGGCTCTGTCTTTAAGGGATATTGGTGTGATGGTGAAACTTTATCCCAACATGAGTGCCGTTCTGCTGCACAACTCACAACTGGACCACAAACGGGTCAGTAAATTTAGCTCTACATACTGTTTGCCTGTGTGTTCATGTTTCTGTGAGTGTTTCGACTGATTTCTTTGTATTTTCCTCTTTTAGATCAAACATCCAAGTGCTTTGGGTTTAGAGGTGGGACAGCAGATACAGGTATGTGTCTTAACTGCAGGCCGTCTTGTCAGAAGTTATATCCTGTTTTTACCCTCTGGGCTAATTGTCTCTTTCTGGACTTATGCTAACAGGTCAAGTACTTTGGAAGGGACCCTACGGATGGCAGAATGAGACTTTCACGGAAGGTGCTCCAGTCTCCCGCTGCGACAATCATCAAGACTATGAGTGACAAACAGAGCATCTCCATGGGCTTAAGCCCCACAACCAGCTCTGATTTGTGACACAAAAAAAACAGGCATTAGCTTGTTGTTACCACCCAAGTGGATTCAAACTGAATAGATTTATCTACAAACACACCTGTGAGAAATCTATCAAAACAAGAGCATCAGATGTTGTCACAACAGACATGGCGCTGTACATGAGGAGCTTTCTCCCTGGAGTTGTTGGTGCAGATGTTAAACTTCCCACAGCTCATCAACTACAGCCTCCTGCTGTCATCGGGCTTGACTGGATATACAGCGGACATTCTGATAGAATTGCAAAACCTAGAATTAAGAATTAAAAACCCCTACTATAGTGTTCTGTTTCATTTTTTGTACCTCAGCTAGTACGGTAAACATCAAGTAAGAGAGTTTCCCGAAAACACAGTCCTCTTAACAGCTTTAACCCCACAGTCACACTGCAATCCAACAATGCTTTTCCTGTTCACATGTGCCATGTGAGATAAAACTGCTTGTATACAAATTTGTATTTGTTGTCCAATGTGCAAGTGTTTCTTGTCGACTGCCACAATCAAGAAATTGAGAAAAAAAGTGGTTGTATCTAAATTCTTTTTTTTTTTATGTCCTTTTTTTTTATTTACAGTGTATGTGAGTCACCTTCAATTAAATCAAATAATGTTTCTTTTAGAGTGTAAATGTTCAGCTTCAAAAATAATCATGAACCCAGAAAAAAAACGAATTTAAATTCAGTACAAAATTCAGATTGGCATTAGGTTCAAGACTGTAGGATGCAGGTAACAAAATATAGCCTATATCAAAACAGTATGGTAAAATTCATCTCAAACTCACTCAAAAAAAGATTAGCAAATCTGTGTTTAATAGCTTATTTTCAGGATCTGTGGCACCTGAAGGAACAATTCCCCTTTATCAACCAGTGACCAATCAGTAGTTAAAACTTGTAAGTTTAACAAAAAACTCCTGCCTATCCTAAAGCATGTCTATTTGTTTATAACTGTGATCCAGAGTAATAACGGCTGAATTGACCTACTGCCAAAGTAATTCCTGTCTCTGTGGCTCAAAAAGGGATATAAACAAAGAAATCTTTACAGTTTTACATGAAGAGGACCGAGAAAACGTAATCGGGCTAAAGAAAGGGGGAACCATCCAATTGAGATGCTGTGTCACATGGATTTGGTGCCCCATTGGTGACATATCTGATAAATTGTAGTGTTGATTGCTTGATTTGGAAGATTATAATTCAGCATTTGATAATAAATAAGCACACATTTATTACCATTAACCCTGTGGCCTGAGATATAATGACCATGACCAATTAAAATGTGATCTGAATTGCAAAACATTGAGACACCTTTTAAGTAATTATTCAAATTCTTTTTAACAATATGCTTTTTCGTTAAAGAAATGTTGTGAAATGGAGGATGTTTCCTTTATAATACAGAGACCAAAAAGGGTCCTCTTGCACTGTCCAGTACTGCTTATATTGTAATTAGTTCTTGCTCTCCTCTATTCGCTTAGGGCACGGAACTTGCTCAGTAACTAAGCTGATATATTGAGAAGACATTGCGATATTTTGTGTCACTTTGGCCTGGCCTGAGCGACAGGATTTCAAGCCCAAAAAGTTGAGGGAAACAATGTAAAGTTTTTTTTGGTATTCATAATAAATTCATTAAAATGATGTGAATGTCTCTAATTGTTCAGCTTTTTCCATTTAATATCTAGAGGCTATTATGTTTGTCACACTGTCTTTGTTTTGATTTAGTTATTAAATATCTATTCAAATCTGCCTAATGGTTTAGGCCAGGGGTGTCCAAAGTGCGGCCCGAGGGCCATTTGCGGCCCTTGAGGGTTTTTTTTGCGGCCCGTGAAGAATCAGAAGATTTTGGCCCGGGGCCTTGATAAAGATTGGCACATTATCTTATTTTTCATGTTAACACGGGCTGAACAATATTCCTAAAATAGAAAATGTTCAGTAACATGTATGTTGTTGTTGGAAAAAAAACAGTATGCAAAGTTTTTGCAAACAAGCAGACTGTTGTTTAACCATTTAATGACCTGAGCTAAATGCAGAAAGCTTTTCCAAAAAAATGAACCACGTTACAGGCTTGATTCTGAGAAAAAAAATAGAAGTAGAACGAAGAAATCTAAATATTTGATTTCCTTTTATTAAAGCAGGGGTCTCCAACAGGTAACTCAGGAGCTACTGGTAGGGCAGGTTTTCAGTAGCTCACCTATAGGTTGACTGACTATGTTAAAAAATAAAAATAAATCTGACTACAGTAAATGCACCTCTTCCCACTATTCATATATTTGGCCTATAAAAACAAGTGTAAAGTAGTAATGTTTTATTGAACATTGATGTGAATTTTCAGCAACATATCTTACTATGTGGCACAATAAGAAGTGCAAAATATTCAATTTTTTTTCTTGGACCTTGATGTGAATTTAAGATTATTGATAAGCATTGGCTTATTGCAATTTCACATGTGTACAAACAGCAGCTTAATCCACCTGATATGTGCTATGTAAATAAATGCAAGCGATTTGATGCAAGTAGCTCTTGGCCACTTCCATTTTTTCAAAGTAGCTCTCAGATGAAGAAAGGTTGGAGACCCCTGTATTAAAGGGTTTCTTTAGCGAGCCTTTTGATTCCGATCTACAAAGTATGGAAGCCCATTTCCGCCAGTTAAAAAAATAAAAATGAAAACAATAAAGTCATAACAATGAGATAAAAAGTCAAAATTATGAGATATAAAGTTGAAATTATGAGATATAAAGTCATAATAATGAGATAAAAAGTCAAAATTATGAGCTAAAAAGTTGAAATTATGAGATATAAAGTTGAAATTATGAGATATAAAGTCATAATAATGAGATAAGTCAAAATAATGAGATAAAAAGTCAAAATAATGAGATAAAAAGTCAAAATTATGAGATATAAAGTTGAAATTATGAGATATAAAGTTATAATAATGAGATAAAAGTCAAAATTATAAGCTAAAAAGTCGAAATTATGAGATATAAAGTCGAAATTATGAGATATAAAGTCATAATAATGAGATAAGTCAAAATAATGAGATAATAAGTCGAAATTATGAGACTTTATTTTTATTTTTATTTTTATTTTTTACTGGCGGAAATGGGCTTCCATAACAAAGCCTTACTATTAAAACTATATTTAAAAAAAAATATATATATATATATATATATATTTTGTGAGCGATTCTAACGCGACAATTTTTGTCCCGCAAGAAAAAACAGTTAGGACACCACCGCTATAATAGGCCTACGTCTACTTTATGTCATCAGCATGAATTAATTTTTTTTGTATCGCCTGTAGGGGGCGCGGTAACTTCTGGAGCTGCGGGTTCGCCATTGGATGACGCCGCTCGGAGGAGGAGGAGACCCCGCGGGCAGTCAGCGCTTGATTGACGTCGAGGAGGAAAAAAGAACACAAGATCGGATTACAAGATGGCGGTCTGTGGACGTTAGCGAGAAGGCCGTCAGAGTTGTTGTGTTCTCTGTGAATTTTCCTCTTTGATAAAAAGGCCTCCTGTTAAGTTATTTCACTCCGTTGACGTAATGCGTGTATGAAATAGCTCCCAGTGTTTCGCTGCTGTTGATAACTTTACTTAGAAGTGCATGTTTTTAATAACATGCGGGAGGGAGCGAAGTTAACAGGTCGAGGAAAACACCAGACGGGTTGAGGTGATTAGCTTGTTAGCAGCCAGCTAGCCTGCTAGCTCGGGGATTCGGGTTAACCATGTCGGACACTCGGCGGCGAGTCAAAGTGTACACGCTCAATGAAGACCGGCAGTGGGACGATCGGGGCACTGGACACGTTTCGTCTACATTTGTTGAACGGTTGAAGGGGATATCGCTGTTAGTTCGCGCGGAATCTGACGGTAAGTTCTCAAGTTAGCATAGCCACATTTACCTTCCAGGAGGAGGAGGAGGGGGGGGGAGAGCTAAGGGTTTGCATGCTACCCTCCTGGTTGTGTTCGGACAGAAAGCCTTCAATTGCCCCACGTCGTTAACACACTGGCCTCGCTTCATTGACTTGACTGCAACATGTGGGACCAGTGGTGTCGTGCTCTTTGTAAAATCTGCAATGGCACCGTCCCGAGAGAAAAGACAAAGTGATTTATTAAATGGCTAATGCTAGTGAGCTCGTTGCTGTAGCAGGCGAGGTGGTCTTAGCATGGAGGGGGGGGGGGGCTTCAAAGTCTAGTCTGAAACGTACTAACTTATTACTGCTCATTAAAGTGAATCATTATGTGGGACTTTAAAGTAAAGGGGCATCAGGTGAGTATCTCTCTTATTGTCTCACCTTTTTGTATATTTCGCAACTTTGTATTGTTCAACATTTTTTTTTTTTTTTACATTGTTCTACGTTTAGTTAATTGATCTCCATGTCACAGGTTAAACGACGATCTCCTCCAGGAGTTTCGTTTTTTTTTTTTATTGTTCACATCTGTTGTGATAATTTACACTAGTGTTAAAGAGAGGCTACTCTACTCTTTGTGTTTTTTTTAGGATCACTATTATTGGAGTCGAAGATAAGTCCCAATACTGCATATCAGAAACAACAGGTAAGAACAGATCATCATCATCATCATGATGAGTTTTTAAAAAACATGTTGGATTGAAATCATCAGTACATCAGTCAAGAGTTAAATGTGTTGTCCTAGTTATTATAAATGAGAGAAGTGTTGCTGGCCAATTACTGCAAAGATGATTCAGTACAGACAATAGAAGTCAGTATTGGCTCTACTCTTATTTTAAACACTGGAAACCAGTTTATCATTCATGATCAAGCACTCGGTAATTGTGTATAATGTCCCGGATATTTTGTGAATACAACCTTTTTTAAATGTATGCTGTCAATATGATGAGCCTTTTTTTTTTTCGTGCACAGTTTGAGGTTTCTTTCTCCCTCTTTAAGGACACACTGATAGTTTGGTCGGAAGCAGATAATTATGACCTTGCCCTAAGTTTCCAGGAAAAGGCTGGCTGCGATGAGATCTGGGAGAAGATTTGCCAGGTAAAGTCAACAAAGTTTCTCCCAGATTTAGTGTATGTACCAGATTTAGCAGGAGTGGAACCACTAAGCTGGTGTGGAAATGTTATAGATGCTATCACAATTTCTTCATATCTTCGTACGATTTGTTTCACAGGTTCAAGGCAAGGACCCTGCCCTGGACATCACCCAGGACCCCATTGATGAGTCGGAAGAGGAGCGCTTTGAGGAGATTCCAGAGACAAGCCACCTGGTGGAGCTCCCTCCTTGCGAATTAAGTCGTTTGGAGGAAATCGCGGACCTGGTCACCTCTGTTTTGTCCTCGCCAATCCGGAGGGAAAAACTGGCCCTGGCCTTGATGAGCGAGGGCTATATCAAGAAACTCCTGGGTCTTTTCAGAGTATGTGAAGACCTGGACAACAGGGAAGGTTTACATCACCTCTATGAGATTGTCCGAGGAGTCTTGTTTCTCAATAAAGCGGCTCTTTTTGAGGTGATGTTTTCCGATGACTGTATCATGGATGTGGTGGGCTGCCTTGAGTATGACCCTGCTCTGGTTCAGCCTAAACGACATCGGGAATTCTTGACCAAGACAGCAAAGTTTAAGGAGGTGATCCCTATCACGGACTCTGAGCTACGACAGAAGATCCACCAAACGTACCGGGTCCAGTACATCCAGGACATCATCCTGCCCACACCATCTGTTTTTGAGGAGAACTTTCTGTCCACGCTCACCTCCTTCATCTTCTTCAACAAAGTGGAGATTGTCAGTATGTTGCAGGTAAGGATCAACACCGGGTAATCTGCATTCTTTGTTATGGCATACTTTATAAGTCAGTATTTAATGATTTTTTTGCGCTTTGTTTTCATTGTCAGTGAAAAAAAAAAAAAATGTTGCATCTGCAGTTTTCTGAGTTGCATTAGGTTACCTTTGACTAAAAATAGTTTGATACATGCAAGTTGACCTGTTGTCCCGTTGATTCCAGAATTTAACATGGTGCATCCTCGATGATGAATGACTAACAAATGCTTTGCAAGTGTTAAATGTATTGATTTCCTATGGTATATGAAATGTTAAATAATGTGGGAAATTAATTTGTCTTACTAACAAAGTACAGTCCTTTCTTATTTTCAATAATCTGATGGATTGTGCTGAATGTGATGTCAAAAACAATGTGTATGTATGCTCAGGAGACTTTTCAGTATGTTAAAAATGATAAGTATAAAATAATAAAAAGTTGTTCAGTAGGCGAGTGAGGTTCTATTTCATTGCTTCTAATTCCATTTTTATATGGAGCTATTGTAAGGAAGTACCGTAGTGCATTACCATTCCATGATGTTCATTTCTCCAAAACTTAATACAAATTGTCCAAGATTTATTTTTCTATTCCCCTTGCTAATTTGTATTACATTGTATTGTAGCCTCCTATTTTCATTGATTTAATCCTGTTATTCCCTGCAACAGGAGGATGAAAAATTCCTTACAGAGGTCTTCGCACAGCTCACAGATGAAGCCACCGAGGACAGTAAAAGGAGGGAGCTTGTAAGTAAAACCATGTCAGTTCTTTTGGCAGGAGGCTGTGATAGTGCTTTGGAGGTGTTGGATCTTATGTTGATACTGTCAGTCATCGCTGTGAGAAAAGAAACGCACTCATTAT